GGGGGGGGGGGGGGGGGGGGGCGGTCCATTTCTAGTCACGGCAACGTTTATCATTGTAATACTTTTACATTGTAACCTGGATTTGCTCCAACTCAATTGCCTCCCAGCTGTACTTGTGCCAAACGCCGTGATTTATGTAGGCTTTAGCGCATTTTCTCACAAAAACTTAACACCAAATCAAACATTTCTGTGAAACGTATCTAAACATCAAGGAAGCCAGTTATGTAGACCTGCATATAGCCCATTTCCCCCCAGCTCCATCGTTTATATTATGAACCAGTTTGTCTCCTCTGCAGTGGTACCCGGAGTCCTTTCAGAGTTTTAAATAATCTCTAAACGTCGGCTCATTACGCACTGGGGTTTATTTCCATGATCCATTGAGATGGAAATTAGGCGGACATTTTATCCGGTATCGGGCCCATTAGAGAGTTTCGTTGACGTGCCTCTTTGGGTGGTTTTCAATGAGGCGCAGAGCTGCGGGACCCGGTGCGTCTTTGCGCGTATTCGTACAAACCCACTCTTAAGTGAAGACCGAAATTAACCCGCGTACATTTACTAACGCTAGTTGGTGCTGTTTTGCGGGTGTATAAAGTAGCCTTTGCCGAAAAACAGAAGTGGCCAAAATGAAGTGTTTGCAAACAAGACGTGAAAGGACATACATGATTTCATCATTTTAAAAATAGTGGATTATCTGTACATCTCGTACATCTTTTCCTGTTGAGCAAAGCAGTTAGGTATTGTACTGCTGCATCTTGCTAGTTGAAATCAATTGAAAACAGCAGGCCAAATGCTAGTCTATTCTGAGCATGATTTTTTTGGGATATTTAAAACAAAGCTGTTGTGACGTGGCACTTGATAACCGCTTCCACAGTAACACAGTGTGTCTCTGGATGTTTTCTGATGCCTGTCCGATGGCCCCTGACTTTGGGCTTCGCTAATGGCGCCTCTGCACAGCCTTGCTGATGCTGTTCCGTCCGTGCAGCTGGTATCAGACCATGCATAAACCCTGCAGCACCTTAGACAGAAAATCATAAAATGTATTGGACGTTGTTTAAATGCTGCTTAATTGGCTACTTGACACATTACAAGGAGATTCCTCGAAACAGCATCAAACGCACAGCGTTAATGCAATCTTAACACTGATCTCTGAAATCTTTAGGATTTTATCTTGTCCAGGACATAACGTAGAGTTTTATTCACGTGCAGATCTACTCTCACAGTATTTACACAGACCTTTCACTCTTTCCCAGGTCTATACTCTGTCTCCATTGTGTCTCACGCATCCTGGATAATGGCCGTGGCAGATTGGACAGCAGCTTCCGGAGGGGGGGGGGGTGTTTTAGGAAGAGCTGGTTATCAGCCGGTCATCTGGAATTCCGAGCCGGCCCCTGCTGGGATCTGGGGTTTGGGGAAACTCGTCAGTAGCTAAAAGCGTGCACCTTGGCCCCGTGTCAGGTCTACAGTAAGGTCCGATTCTGCTGATCCGCTGTTCCCCAGAAGCATTAGTTGTGAGAACGGCGTCTTTTTCCATGTGTCAAAGGGATTACACAACGCTTTGCCGGGCAGTTTGGCAATCTACCGTACTATTGCAATAATTTTAAAAACAAAGAAATTAATGTTAAGAGCCAACTGCGGCTGTTGGAAAGGGTTTTACGCAACGCGGAGTAATGTTAGTCTTTGTTCTGTCCCGTGTAAGTGAATAAAGGCGGCTTCCAGTGAATAAAACATTAAAGTTCAAGTGAAAAGGCAGGCAGGTGAGCGGCGTTTGGCGAAACGTGTCATCTGTGCGGCAGGACGTGTCCTCACCTGCACCAGTGACACTGTATGGCATGGGATTCCTGTGTCTCACGGGATGAACGTCCTTGCAGCCACGTGACTAGCCTATAGGGGGCGAACACATGACCCGCAACCCCCCCAAGTCTTGCCTGATATCAGGGTTATATCTTTAGGATTGTGGTTAGACTGGAGTGGTTTGGAAGTCCATGGTTTCCAGCAAAAGCATCTCGTGGATTTGCAGGTCTCGTGCGGCCTGGTGGCCCTGTGTTGTGACGTCACTGCGGCCTTCACCCGCCGCTCGGAGCTGGCTGCCATCTACACGCCACCTGAAAATACACCAGCAGTGATTTAGGTCAAAGATTAATAGCCCCATAAAGGCATTAACCCCATATAGATCTGCAGCAACAACAGTGTTAGTTTCGGCATTGTAAGCCGCCGTGTTGCCATGACGATCTGGCTAAACACGTAGCATGCGCCGCTATCTGCAGGACTTTTATGTGGTTTTGAAATGGGGCAAACTTTTAACTGTTATGTTTCAGGTCTGTTTCAGAGGGGAGAGGCCTGGAGATAGGTAACCTCGAAGGACACACCTGCTTTACAGATTTCGTACCAGATTTCAGCTGAAAAAAAATGAAATTTGGGGGATTTATGACTCAGAAATGGGTTAGAGCATTCTGCAGTCAAAGGAATGAAATCTGTGCTTTGGAATCGTATTTTGTCAAGATGGGCGACAAACTGAACCGGCGTCTCGCTGTCCGGTGGACTGTGGTGACATATACTTGGATTTACTGGTCAGAGGGAGTCACAGCGAGTCTGTGTTTGAGCATCGCGGCGCCCCCTCTCCTCCTGTGACTGCGGCACTGGCCTTCTGAGGGATGGGGGGCCTCTGTGTGGCCCTTTTATACGCCGGTTATTTTAAGCCCCCTCTCCGTGGCCTTCCTGTCAGGAAGTCGACATAACTGGCTTTCCTGCACAGTGATAGCGCTCACCCCTCCTTCCCCCCCCCCCCAGCCAGTGGGAAAAAAAATGGCAGAAACAAAGAGGGAAAGAGGGAGAGCGGGGGTCTGAGAAAATGTGGTGGAACGTGGTGGAACGTGGTGGAACGCTGACTGTCTCAGACTGGCCTCTCTGCCACAGGACAGCGCATACAGCTGGATGGGTTCCGGTGACAGAAGTGTGAACCTCAGGTCCTACAGCCCTAATCCCCCCATAACCGTGTCCCACCGACACCAAGACAACTTGCTGCACGCTGTTCTGCATGAGACATGTTTCATTGTGGCCCGTAAGCAGCAGCCGCCAGCCCAGAATCACTCCCCGCTCACAGCAGTGTCCTGATCGTAGCGCAGAGCTCTGTCAGTCACACTGGGAATTGTGGCAGATTTTTGAGAATGTGAACAGGTGTGTCGCATTGACGCCTGCAGACATACCAGAGAAAGGGCCGCGTCTCCTTATAAGCGCTGTGCGTGTCTGCTGGGCGACGGCGTGCCTGGCCTCACTCCCAGTAGCTCTCCTGCGTAAGGAGAACGAAAAGCTTTGTTTCATTTAACGAGTTTGGGCTATTAGGGTTTCATAACGGCCCGGCTGACGTTGGAAAGCGGGGCCTCTGCACGACCTTTGGCGGCCTGGATGGACCCCGGACCCCCCAGCCTCTGGCACATGGCCGCCCTTCCACCTGTGAAGGCGGAGCCTAAACCTCACCGTGTCTGAAGCGTCTGAAACACGCTGGGGGTCTTGTGTCCGGGAGGAGACCGCTTCAGGTATGGTGACACGCTGACACCCCTCCCTGGCCCCCCTGCCAGTCTGTATGTCTGCAGCCATGTCGGCGCCATCCAGGGTGACGGGGTGACAGGGTGGTGGAGTGACGGAGTGACAGGGTGACGGAGTGACAGGGTGACGGAGTGACAGGGTGATGGAGTGACGGAGTGACAGGGTGACGGAGTGACAGGGTGATGGAGTGACGGAGTGACGGAGTGACAGGGTGACAGGGTGACGGAGTGACAGGGTGACAGGGTGACAGGGTGACGGGGTGACAGGGTGACGGGGTGACGGGGTGACGGGGTGACAGGGTGCCTTCTTAGCAGTAGCAGAATCAGCCACGGCTGCTTTGTAGCACATCATGGTGCAACGTAAACCGAGACGGCGGCCTGACCTGTGTGGCCCCTCCCCCCTCAATTCCTGCCCTGGGGGGCCATGCGGAGTGAAGGGGAAGGTTACAGGAATGCATCTCTATGCTGAGGTATGTACATACACTCTCAGTCTACACACCAAAATCAGTAGCATAGTCTCTATCCGTCCGTCCATCCATCCATCCATCTTCGGCGGACGGTGTGAGGTCCTGCTCCTCAGGGTCCCGGAGGTGCTGTCACCTGTCACCTGTCACCTGTCACCTGTCACCTGTCGCGTTCTCAGCTCCATTTGAATCACATGCCGTTTACTCTCTGGACTCGAGGCTCCTCCCCCTCCAGTCCCGGGACAGGAGTGCCTTATATGGGCGTGAAGACGGACCGGCGAGGGCAGAATCCTACGGTAATATCAGTTTGGCGCCTTGCGCAGGGCAGGGCCAACGTTCCCTCGGTTTCTAACGCCCTTTTACTAATTCTGAGGTTTTGTTTACGCCACATGGCTGTAAGGTGGTGGATGGAAGGTGCCAGAATATGGAGAGAATCCGGGGCGGCGGCTGGGGGGTTTTGGCCGCGCGTGTCAGCCGCAGAGCTACTCCACTGAGCTTGTTTTTTCACTCTGAGTGCCCCCCCCCCCCCCCCGCGATTTGCGCTTTGATATCACTGGGCTGCACCTCAGTCGTCCAGATTGGTTTCAATGTAACGAACGTGGAGCCGCGGGGACAGGAAGTGTGGGTTAGTCTGACCGCAGGGAGCTTCCGCGGCCTCACGCTTCTCCCGCTGGTACTCAGGCCCCCGCTGTACCTCGAGGAAAATTGCTGCCCTCCTGGGAGCAGGCCTGCCAGGTAGAGGGGGACGACGCCAGCGCCTGGCTGCCACGCGGCCACGCTCCTCCTGCCCCAGATGGGTAGTGGGCACAGCCCGCGGGCTGCAGTGATGCCACCGGATGGGCCCTTTTAAACGGCTCCCACGGTGCCGACATGCGACTGCAGGGGGCGCCCCAGAGCATGAGGTTCAGGTCTGACTGACTGAGGTTATCAGGTTGACTCACCATTCAACCTCCTCAAATCACCGTAGGAGCCCTGGAAGACGCCCCTTATCAGTTTGTGTCACCAAGCTTCCCCCGTTGTTATTCCGCTCTGCGCGCCCGCTGCCACGTGCTTCTCTCAATCACACCTGCTGCCTGAAGACCCTCCAGCTGAGCTTCCTGCCCCCGGCTCTGAGATGTTAATTAAAGTAAACGGCGTGGTGAGCGGCCTAAAGGTCACCCAGTTACTCGTTGTGCCGGTTGTGCTTTAGGATATCATGGTGAATCCCCCCCCTCCCCAGGCGCCCCCAGGATACGCTTGCCTCTCATGCGAATTCCCACCTGGCTCGTTGCGTTTGCAGTCAGTCTCGTACAGGTGTCAGGTGCTGCGCTAACCCCCCCCCCCCGCCATCCCTGGGGCACAGAAGCACAGGTGTCAGGGATTACGGAGACCTGGGAGGCCCTTAGGGGCTCTGCCGCTCCCTGAAAACAGGACCCCCCCCTGCAGACAGTGCCGCCCTATTGGTGAGTTGGGCCTCGTCATGGGCACCCCCACCCTCGGCGGTCGGTTAAACCGTCTGTCTCAGAAAGTCGCCGTCGCATGCGACCTCAGTGCACCGACTTCGGTTATTACCTCCAATTAAAGCACATCCAGGAGTTTGACACCTCTGAGTGCGTTGCAAGGCGTAAGAAAAGCAGCATGAGCCGGGGTGCGGCTGCTTCTGGGAGGAGCGTCGTCGCTGGGCTCGTGCAGTAACCGCTTCCTGCACGCGCCTGGCGGTCGGAGCCTTCCCACCAGAGCCGAAAGCGCCGTGCTCAGCCCCTTTCACTGTCTAACTGCAGTTTCTCCTTGAATGAACAACCTTGTCACTTCAGGAAAGCTACAAAAACCACATGTCAACGTTAACTGGTGTGTTTTTAGCGTTTTGGGGGGGGGGGGGGAGGTTCAGTGAGAACGTTCTGCTTTCTTCTCAGGTGATTCTGTGCGATTCTCTTGAGTCGCCATCGGCTCTGGGATTGTCTCCTGCCCTTACTGGGATGGGAACAGAGTGGGGCCGCTTAAAAGGCCATGTTAGCATCAGTGTAGTGTTAGCGTGATGCTATGAGAGATAGACTCTAATGGGGCAGGGATCTTGTCTTCCGATTCCAGGTTCCCTGGCTGGCTCCTGGGGGCCTTTAGGGGGCGGTTCTCCTCAGGGAAAGATTCCCAGGAAGCCTCTTGTGTTCCCCAATCCGCTCCGCATCACTGGCGGCCCGTCTTCCTCCCCGGATGATCTCAGCGGTTTCCCAGATAATCGCGGCCCTCTCAGTCGCTTTCGAAAAACGCACCAGGACGCAAATAACTTGAGGAAAGACGGGACAGGGGTTTAAATTTAGGCCCGTCCGAGACTCGAGGGTTCGAGAATAAAGGCGAGGAAGCGGCAGCCGTGTGCCTTTATTTCCGCTGTTGCCATTTTTAAGACGGTTGAGTGGAACAGAAACGCTTCCCAGGTCGGCCGGGAAAGACGATGCAAGGAGCCGCAAGGAACCGGCGGCACTGGGAAACGAGGGGGCGCCCCCTAGGGGTGTCAGCCCACGACATCCTGGACAGGCAGCGGAGGTTTACACACGTGAGCTCGTCCAGGAATGTTTACACTGGCGTTACGAGTGGCCATTCTGTCCCCGGTGTCACCCCGAGAGACACGCAATGCCTAGCGGAATGATTTTGGGTCGGATCCGGCCTCGGACCTCAAAACCTCATCCCATTAAGGACCTCTCCTGCTCCTGTCTTTGATTTCTGGTGCTATGTGCTCATATGTCTGTGTCACTCTCTTCCGGTGACTTTGTCAGACTGGATCTGCGGTAGCAGAATACCCCCCCCGGTCTGGATTGTTCCACCTTTCTGTACTGTATTGTTATGTTTATCCTCAGTAGAGGGCCCCCCCCCGGTGTGCTGTAACAAGCCTTATGATGTCACGGGCTGATTCTTACTATTGACGGGAAGGCATGTGAGTTGTATCCGAGTCGTGCTGCGATCATCCCCAGCCCCTGCAGGCCTGAATTCCCTGCCGATTCCTCGGTAAATGGCTGCTGGGGGCTGTAGGGGGCTGTAGGGGGCGCCGAAGGGGGCTGAAACTGCCCCTTAGTGGATGTGAGTCTGTTGATTTTGGTGTGTAGACTTGTTGGGTGCATTTCAGGGGGAAGTCCTATAAGTCCCTGGGGGGGTCCTGGGAGGTGTTTCTGTTTGGGTCGTGCAGAAAGGGTGGCATATGGCTGTGAAGGGGGCTGTCCTTGGAACTTTAATTTCATAATTAAATTTTCATAATTTGATGAGGGAAGGGACCTGACGCGATAAGCCTGCTGACGCTTTGGCGTGAAGGACGGACGTTGCATTTTTAAACTTCAAACGAAAAACGTGCCTGAATGCAGAGAGTCCCTGGGCCACACGGGACGGGGGAGCGTGACAGCGGCTGCGTTTCTGTACCCAGACACGCCATGCACCCTCTGAGTCTCCGAGTCTGAGCATTTTATACCTAGGCCTAAAATAGCTGCTGCCCCATTGGCCGAGAGAGGGGACACTCTGAATCACACCGGACCAATCAGAGAGTGGCGCTTCCTGCACTGGCAAAGATGTTTCCTGCCGATAGCGTGTACTGGGGGGGCGGCGTGTCGCGGGACTGACGCACTTTTTCTGACCCCCGGAGCCTCCGAGGAAGCGCGGGGAACATCCAGGCGTTGTGTGAAAATCCGTGTTTGGGTTTGTCGGGGGGTGGGGGGGGTGTACGTGTGGTCTCAGCATGGTCTGCGCATGCAGCACCGCTGTCAGTGGCCAGCAGGTGGAGTAGTGGTTAGAAATCCGGTCCCAGACTATGGGTTCTTCGCAATGGTGCAGCACGTTGAATCAGTGAAAAGTGTACTGATGGAGGGACAAAAAATCAATTCACCGTCATCTATTATTACTCCAAATGTTTCTGGCAAAGGATTGTGGGATTCCAGGCATGACGTGAGGGACACCATGGACGGGATGCCAGTCCATCACAGGACACAAAAAATTCAGGTACGCCAGTCTACCATGTCACAGAATTGTGGAAGCAGTCTGTTTAATAGATAGAGGGCAAATGTCACCTTTTGGTAATGCCCCCCACCCATAACAAACACAATGGGCCCCTTCTGGACCTGAGTTGTGACGCGCTAAGGGCGCTCCCCCGGTGCGGCCCTGAGCACCGCCTGGCCGACGCCACGAACGTGGCTACGTGGGCGTCTCATGGCGTCAGCGGCTCCCTGTGCGGGGCCCACCCCCTTGTGCAGGCCCCCCCCCCCACACTGACGCTGCTCTGTGCTTTTATAGCAGTCAGATAAAGGGCATCTATAAATCGCTCCGTGCTGACGATGCTGCTGCGAGCTGGCTGGGGGCGCGGTCACCGCACCCGGCCCACTGTCACACCTCAGGGATAAGTTCGCAGGTGTACTCTCATCGTGACAAGCCCCGCCATCATCAGCGCTCAGAAGCCACCAGATGGGTCCTGAGCTGTTCAGAAGAACCATAAACCCTAAACCAGGCCGTCAGTGCGACTGCCATCTCGTGTCTGCAGTCACCTGTCAGGCGTGTCCGTGGGGGGCATGTGACCCAAAATGTGTAATACTAAGCCCCCCCCCCCCCGGATCTCTAATAAAGCTCCTCCCATCTCTGGGACTCGAACCTCTGGCGGCCTCTTCCTGCCACACTCGCCAGGGGCCGGTGAGCTGCTGTTGACGCATTCAGTCCTGTTACTGCCGGTGGCTCGGGACATCGGGGCTGGGCGGGGGGGGGGTGGCTTTTACACACTCGCCTGCATCTGACCCTCTTAAACGCAGGCTGGGTGTGATTTTAGAGGCAGCAGAACAAGTGGGGCCTCTCCCTCTTCTCTCTCTCTCTCTCTCTCTCTCTCTCCCTCTTTCTCTCCCACTCCCTCTCTCCCTCTCTTCCTCTCCTCTTCTCTCTTTCTGTGGTTTATAGGACTCTTTCCTCTGGTCCCACCTCTTCAATAAACCTGAGTTTATGGTGCACCTGGGGGCAAATAGGGGGGGTTTGGGCCAAGGTCAGCAAGGCATGCGGGTGACAACAGGACTTGGACCCCCCACCCACCCCCAGGCCTTTAGCCCCCAGTGAGATCCATTCCAGCAGCAAGTCACCTGGAGCCATGTTCCATGTAAACATGGGCAGGGCTGGGGAAGGACCCCCCCCCAGGTGCAGTGTAAGTTCAGGATCACCCTGGTCTCTGCCCCCCTCCCCCCCCCCAAGAGACTCAGCAGAGCTGATGACTGTTTGAGATTCCTCTGTTGTTCCTTGAGGGTAGGGGAAGCATGAGGAAGTGGGAGCGAAACACCAATTTAACACTGAGTGAATTCCCCCTGTTAGCACCCGGTCATTAAAGCAATGTGCCTTGGGACAGGATGCCTTCCCCCAGGCCGTTCTGTCTGCCCCGTGAGCAGAAGCTGCTGTTATGCCTCTGAGAAATTAAGGCAAATAGTTTCTGGTAAACCGGGCTGATTTCCATGTGAATAACGCAGTGATGCATATCCTTCAGGGTAGGAACTTACACAGGAGCAGTGATGAGACACTTCCAGGAACTCAGACGGTGCGCCTTATAATGCAGTGCGCGTTATAGTGCGGAAAATACGGTAAGTTCGAGAACTGAGGAACCACTGAACATTTTTCTTTTGGGCTTCNGGGGTATCATTCAGGATTTGTGACAGCATTTAAAACATTTCACTGGGCTGAGATCAGGTTGAGGAAGATCCAGAGAGATTACAACAGGATATTCGCCAATTCAGGCCCATCAGAAAGGGGGAGCTCCAGTTACCTGAAAGGAGGGGGGTTAATGCCTAGTACTCTCCCCCAGTGGTGGAGGACCTTTACACTGCCCAAAACCCAGAGCCGCCACCACTGAGGGTGTACAAACTTGTTCCAGATCAGTAGAAGAGAATGTGATCTATCATCATACTTGTTCAGTTTGTTATGAGGGCAGCTGGAAGCAGAAGACTGGCCTGAGATTGAAGATGGACAACCTTCAAGATGCCGAAGATGATCTGAGGACATTTCCCAGGAAAGTTAACCCCCTGCTCCACCTGTCCGTCCTCGTAGAGTCAAGACTCATGAAAAGGGGACGTTAGCTGTTAGCTTCCCGTCCGGCAACCGGGAAGCATAGGAGAGGAATCACAAGGGGCTCGGTGAATGGAGATTGCTGCCGGCATCTTGGTCTCCCTCCCTCGTGCTGCTGCGCGCCCATCCTGGTGCGCAGGGGTGAAGCACGGCGCCCAGCCAAGGGCCCACTGATGGGATCACTTTGCTGACCACAGGATTTGAAGTGATGACCTTTTGACTCGAGGCACACTGCCCTAAGCCGTTGAGCCACACAATGGCCCCTGCAGGTGGCTTGGATCAGGTGAGCCCCCCCCCCCCCCCCCTCAATGGGAGACTGGTAGGCAAAGGGGACGGACAGATATGGGGCTGGGGGGGGGTGACTTCCCCCCTCATCATCCTCCATCCCGCCTGTCTGTCCAGGCCCCTCTGGGCTTTGCTCGTTAAGCAGCCCAGGTAACGAGCTGAGTCCTCCCTGCCTCGCCACGGTCGGAATTTGTGCGATAAGGTGCAGCGTTGGAGATGCTAAGGAAGTTAAGGTTTCATAACTTCCTGATTAGAAGGCCTGTAAACACGAGAAAAACACAGTGGCAGGTTAGCCGGCACTCTGATAAGGTAAGAGGGCAGGACTGTGGCACCCGACGCTGGACCGGCCTCTGTCTCGGGCACGGTGTCCATGTCGTGCGATCTGGCTTCACCCTGAGCCCCGCTCTGCCTCTGGTCCTGGGACGGGTCTCACGCCCCCTTCTAGCCGGGCTCTCCTGAACGGGTCTGGCAGGAAAAGTGAAATTTTCTTGGAATGTGTAGGAGCTTCTGGGAGCTTTGACGTGCCCCCCCCCCCTCCCCCCCCCCCCCCCCCCCCCCCCCTGCCCTGGGTGCTGATTCACTCACGGTTGTTTACTTGGCGCCTCTTTGATAAGCGGCGCTGTTACAAGCAGGGCATTCACAAACTGGCATCCTTTGCCCCTTAATTCCCCGGAAGCTCCCAGGATGTCCGTCTCCATACAAGCGACGGGCCACGTCCGTGGTGGGAGTCCACGCCGCGCCAACTTTACGGGGGCTCGGCCCGACGGTGTTGAACACGCCAACGTCTCAAGTGAATCTGAATTCCGCACATTCCTGTTGTGTTGCCGTTGAATACCTTCCAGGAAAAGCATATCAGATATGACCTTCAGCACTTCACTCTCACACACGATGTTTCATACAACAGATACAACAAATACAATTGAATCCCTTTTATTTCTTCGCCATAATTCTTCGGCCCAGGTGGAATGTGGCACTGACTAAAAGCCCAGCAAAGACATTCCTCTGAGAATATTCGTGTCAACTCTGTTCTCTGGCCTGACATCTGGGCCCAGTGTCTCTGTCAGCTGCTCTGAGTGGTTTTACGGGGGGGGGGGAGATTAAATCCCTCCGAGATGCGAGTTTCAGTGGAGACGGGGTCACGGTGACGTCAAACCTACCGATAATACTGACGATGCCCAAAACGGTTAAAGTGGATTGTGTTTATACAGCTGCTTTTTGTTCCATACTAATTTCGTTTAAGTTACTTGTCCAACAGTGGTTATCTTCCTAAAATACAAACTAGTGACCTCTTTCGTACAAGTTTAGTCTGTCATCCTTCCATTTAAATCCATTCTAACTGAAATAGACTCTAATTTCACCCTCCTCTCCACCTAAGCTCTCCTCCAGTGCCGAAAATGGCCCTCCGGCGTATACATAGAGTCGCTCCTTATGTATCGGACTCTTCTCTTCTATTTGCGTCTGTTTTCTCTCGGTCTATTTTCTCCTGTCTGTTCCCAGGGCAGGAGCAGGGCAGTGCCATTCCCACCCCAGCAGCGTCGGATCAGAACGCCCGGACTCCCAGCGACACGCAGGCGCTTTGATGTGGAGACAGAAGCGGCAGACTCCAAACACGACCCGAAAAGAAGAAAAGAACGACAGAAGCTATTTTGCCCGTGATGAGACGGATAACGTACAATTAACCTTGACGTGAGAGCATGTGCCGCCTGCCGCCCATTGTCCCGAGACGATTCGGTCCAGGTCTCGCCGCTCTGTCCGGGGAATCCCCGTCTTCCCCGTCTCTTCGTTATTCCTGCGTGTTCAGTCGCACCTTGGCTACCTGTGTGGGTGGGGGATACATTCAGCTACACGTTACCTGGGTCAGCCTCATGTTTCCTTGCCGTACCCCAGATCTGACCTAAATTCGCAGGATTGGATTTGTTGAACTTACGCAAATGCCTAATAGGGGATGTCTGAACATGTCCGTCTGCTGAAAATCAGCTGTTGGGACGGTGAGGACAGGCGGGGGGAGCTGGACTGCGGTGCTGGATCTGTACCAGCTTTAGGGACACAGCGGGGTGGGGGATCAGGTTGTACTTCCTGACTGGGGGTGGTAGATAGAAGGATCCTCTCTACTGTGCTCTTTGACCTCTGTCCCCACGCCCGCCGTCAGCGATGGCCGCTTGGCACGCTTCAGGAAACGTGTGGCGGTCACACGCGAGTGGGGTATGGTTGATTGGTCACGTGTTGGGAGGTGGCCTTGAGGGGGTGGCCGGGCTCTGAGTAATGGGGTAAGGGCACAGGAAATCGTTATTAAAATGGCGCTGGGATTAGTAGAAGGCAAGGCTGTCATGTGACGCATCCTGTGTCTAACTGCCCCCCACCCCTCCCGTCTGCATATCCATCTGAGGCCGTGATCCGGCCAATCCGCGCCCGCCGAGTGAGCATGGATCCGCAGGCCCTCCCTCTGCATAGTGACCTTTGACCTCACCGTCGCCTCCCACTCCTCCAGGAACACCCCGGTGCTCAGTCCTGTTCTTTGTGAAGGCTGTTTTCCCAGCAGCCCCCCAGGGACACCCATTTTCAAATAGCCCCCCCCCCCCCCACACACACACACACACACCCCTGTGTTTCCAGGTTGTACTTGGGGAGGGAGGGGTATGCTTGATTAAAGTTTTGCATCTGTTGCCCAGAAGACAGGATAACGAATGACCTCATTGGGTTGCCCTGCCGACGATGATGACAAACGGCAGGAGAGGGTCCGGCCTCCAGCCGGCAAGTGAGTACAGGCCTGACAGAAAGTCCCCCGACCGGATCTCGATGACTGGGAATGTGGAGTGGGAAGCTGCTCTGGTGTGTGGACGGGGCTGAAGACGGTACCGCTCAGCTGCCCTCACACACCATCCAGATCCGCAATTCGAACCAGGGGCTGCTTTACTCTGATGGTCTGGACTGGGGAGTCAACGTCACCCGGTGGACGTGCCGGTCTGCTGCGGTCAGATGTGCCGGCCCGTCTGGCTTCTGGATCCTGTCTGTTCTTTGCACTTTTTGTGGCACTGGGAGCGCCGGCCTCGCCTGATGGGGCGGCGTGTAAAAGCACGTCTTGGGGCTCACGTGTGCCTCGGCGACGGCGGCTGGTGAACGGGCGCGTCCATGCGGGTGCCAGGCGTGGGCCCCAGTCACCGGGGGGGGGTGCTGGCTGAGGTTGGTAGATCGGCGGGAGGACACCGGCACACATGACTCAGCGACGAGCGGTGTGTGCGTCGCCGTGGAAACCCTCCCAGGCGTTCTGGGGACTGGGCCAAGACACGTGAGTTCTGTTTAGGGCACGTGGTGTTTGGAAGGGAGGGCAAACGTATTTGCTGCTTCGCTGGTCCTGGCGCTGCCACCGATTCCCCATCTTGCACAGCGGACGTGAAGTCGCAGAGCAGTCTGACGGCACTCGCACGCGTTGCAAATTACAGTCAGCGTGAGCTTAGGCCTTCAGCTGCAAGCCTGAAGTTAGCCATTTCTCGGAGATAATTACACAGTTAAACCGTGCAGCTGGGGTTTTTAGTGTGTTTTGGGGGTGGGGGGGTGGGTAAGTAGAGCCTCTTGCTTGTTAAAAGCACAGACACCCCCCCCCCCACAGGATGGGACAGTAGTGGAGGGGAGGGGGGGCATCCCCCCGGAAGTGCTCTTTTAGATAACAAATCATCACACAAAATTTGCCAGGAATGAACCAAGTCCAACCCCCCCCCCCAACAAATTTGTGACAACCCTCTTCCACCCTGTCGCATGACTGAGGCTCTGGCTCGATCTCTGTTCTAAATGCAGAGTAAATCTTAGTGATTCCAGACGGCCGATCCTGTCAAAGCTGCGCATTACTCTGCCGATGCCCTCTGACTCCCCGAGGATTGGCAGGGAAGTCTGTGTCGCCACCACTGAGGACAAAACGGCCTTGCATGCGGCTGGGACAGACAGTGGAGCGTGAGCGGACCCTCACCCCTGAGGGGACTGGTCTTCTGGGGCCCTGTGGGAACATAAACTTCCCAGGAATGTCAAGACCATCCACGCCTTCCTAGGCAATGAGCTGTGAGAATTGTGTCAAGCAGGTAGCGTGAAAAGACACCTGAGCCAGGGGATTCTTCCTGAAGTCATGTGACTCCGGGCCCCACAACGGAGGAATGACATAAACAAACAAGCATGGAGTGTCACTGTCATGCAGACCGTAACCTGGCCCTCCCCCCTCCACTCTCACTCTCACACAGCCAATGCCCCCCCCCCCCCACACCTTCCAGGATCTGGATCCTGCTTGAGGGAACCACCACATTCACTGTTTAAACCCAGCCGGTCACAGTTAAACCCTCAGCTCACACTTGAAACAGCAAACACTGGTGGTGAGAACCTGACAGTGTGTCCTTCAACACTGCCGGGCCGCTCGGGTCCAGGGAAGTGGGATCTGTGCTGACATACACTGTAGTAAAGTTTGAGTAACTCCGGAGTAAAGCATGAGTAACCCCAGGGTAAAGTGTGAATAAAGTTACAGGAGACAGTTGCTAAAGATCAAGCCCATCAAACTGACACCTCCACGCGCCTTGAAACTTCAGACGAATGTGACCCCCCACAAGCAGGATAGATAAAGGTACTTGTGGTAGGTCAAAGCCCAGGCCTGGGAGGAAGCAAGACTGTGTATGTGTGGGGGGGGTGCATTGACTGTGTGAGAGTGCTGCAGGGGGGGAGGCCCAGCTTATCGTCTGCACGACAGTGACACTCTATGCCTATTTATGTCATTCCTCTGCTGGAATGTGACACACTCTATGGGCGTGTCACATTCACTGTCAATGACCTGTCCTCTCTCCCCAGATCTGGCTGATATATCCCCTCTGAGGTGACAATGCTGCAGGTACGAGGCCCCGCCCACATGCACTGGAAAATCTCCTGTTGTTGTTTTTCCAAGAACAGGTCCCCGTGGATTCGGGGGTGTGTGGTGTGCCTCCGTTCTTCTGCACTCAGCCTGGAATGAGTTCGCTGTCCCTATCTCTCCTATTCTAGCTCTTGGGCCTTGATCGACCCGAAGCCGGCCAGCCGGTTCCGGCTGAGGAAAGAGGGCGCCCGTTCTGCAGGGTTCCTCTGTGGACCAGATGAGGTGAAGAACACTCCACACCACCCAGACAGCTGCTTTTCCCTTCTCTGTGATGACACTGGTATCAGTTCTTGCCCGAATAGGTTTTGATGCATGACTTGATAATTAGCCCCAGAAAGGTTGCTGGCAGAAGTGCAGAGGATAATCCCCGTGACCCCAACAAAGCGCTTCTCAATGCCTGTGGACTGGATGGACCTAGTGTGCGGACATTAGTTCGGCTGTCTGTCAGAGTGCTGCAGTATCCACGTGTCTCCAACTTTTTGTTTTGTCTGCGTCCAAACCGTGACGTGTGATAGCCTGTAATGGTATGCTGACCAATTTACCTGCCAGAGTGTTGATGACAGACTGCCAGAGTGCTGGTAAGTAACCGTGTGAGCCACTAACAATCCAGTCCTCTGCAACCCGACGTTTCACGTGGAGATCATGGTGCAGTCCGTCGCCTCCCTTCTCATGCCCCTACCTATGCCCTTCTTGTAAACACAGCTGTCGGATCTCTCTGATCCATCGGGATTTGCATGCGGTTTCTCTAGATGTACCCAAGAGTGTTGACATGACCATCCTTGTGTTTTCAGGGAAAAAAAAAAATCAAATACAAGCCTGGTCGGATGTGACCTCCGCTAGTCTTTGACCTTTTTTCCTTAGAAGTAAACTTAAGAAATTGTTTGTGGGTCTTGAGAAATGTTTTGCAATATTGATGACTCTAGCAGAACGGGTCTTAGACTTGCTGAGTGGTGCGGTCTGGTGCCCCTAAGGAAGCTGGTGATGCAATCTTCTCCGTGGTGCTTGGTGTGTCAGCCCTGTAAGCCTGGATTGAAGCTCAGGATAATAGCCCCTTGCTAATCATCAAGAATCTACGGCAGATGTCTCATACTCAAGTTACCTGAAGGCCACTGGCTATCTAGCACTCCCTCAAGGGGGCCACGTGAGGATCTGATGACTCATTAATCCGCCCCGTCACGGTATTTTCAGTCAAACTCACGTTTCTGAACAACTGCGCCTTCTCCGTGCAGAGCAAGTTAGCAACCTGCAGCATGTAATCTTTCAGTCCCTCTGTGAACGGTCTCCCAGCTTTTGGGATTAGTTTGCTCACCGCAAAACTACCCGCAACTGCTGTCACTTTTCGCTGCCTGGAAAAGATTTCGCTGCATGGACATTCCCCTAAGCAGTTGAGTAACTTGTCTCTCCTCCACACCCCCTCAGCCATGCATACACTGCTTGGTGTGTTTAGTAGAGTTACAGCAATACCACTTGAGATTACATTCCTTTACAACAGTTACTTTCTCTCTGCACATAAGGCAGTTGTCCACCTTTCATGCAACCGTCCATGTCAACTTTTCTTTTCAGTTTGGAAAGAGACATTTTGTCAAACACAGACTGGCATACATCAGTCATTCAGAGACCAGCGAATGGTCTTGTTACTACCCTGCACTTGCGGCAGGTGCTGAGGTGCGCTGTAGTTTATCAGTGGATTGTAGCCAATGAACTGTTACAGCGACTGGGCTGCAAAAACAAAAAAAAACATAAAAAGGCCTGTTTTATGTTTCTCTTCTCCTTACCTATTTCCATGACCTATAAAAATTGACCCACTGATCAACTGAAGGAAAAATATCACAGTATAAAGTAAAGATTGACTTGAGGGCTGGATTAAATTGTAAAGATTGGACTGTTTGAGACCCCAGATCTCTGCGGCGTCATGCATGAGGAGTTGATCACAGCCTCATAAACTTTTCTGGTGCTCCATCTGCCAGAAGGTTAGCCACATGTAAAGCCAGATTGGCACGACTGGTATTTCCCCAGTGTCAGCCTTCCTCTGTCTCCAACACAAGGAACGAAACCACACGGAAAACCATTTTCCTGGAAGTTTATGAATTGGAGATGGCTTTCTGACTGAGAGGCTTTGAGGCTGTGGTCGTGGTCAGACCTGACTCATTCCTAGCTACAGACGGACAATGGTTAATGGCATGTTCACGACGGTCTTACTGGACTTCATGGATACTTCATGGATACGGTGTGAGGTCAATTACGGGCGACCCTCAGGGTTCCTCCAGCCGGCGTGATCACAGGGGACTGAGTGGGCATGACACTCTGGCAGAGGCCTGATGACAGAGACCTTTCAGGTTGGAGCGCCACCCTCTGGCCGTTTCTGCAGAAGCAGAGCCGTCCATCACGGGAGAAGCATGAGAACATCAGCAATGCACAGCTTACACAGGAACTTCTGGCACTTTCATTGGACACTGGCTGCTTTGGTCCTAATTACAGGCTCTACGAGGTGGACTATCCCAGGGCCGATACAGCTTTGTCGACTGTCACCCCATAGCGTGATTATACTCAGCGGATGTGTGGCGAAAGAGAGAGAGAGAGGAGTGGGGCAGGGCTCAATGACACCTGTCACGCACCTACAGAAGCAGGTGTGGACTGATTGTGTATCAGCTGACCTATATAATTCCTGCCCCCACAGGAAGTGTTGAGAAACACTTTATTGTGAGTCACATTGCAAACTCATGCACGTACACATACACGCACACACATACACACATACACACATACACGCACGTGCCTTTACAAGCTCACCACACACAGGGCCCCGTCTCCTGCACCTCACCCTAGGTCCGCTGCCCCCCTGTCCACACACTGAGCTATGCTCTCCTGCTGTGTGATCGTCCTTCCCTTGCATTTTCTCCACTGAGCAACCGGGCCTCCATCTCTTTGCCGGGGGAGGACGGGCACATTCCGCGGGCACAGCGGACTGGCCATCGTGCGTCCCTACACGATGAATCAAAACCAGTAGGTCACCACCAGAATCCCTATTCCTACTCCCCCCCCCCCCCACCTCAGATGAGAACCAGATGTTTCAGACTGACTTGTACTATGGCTGCTTTGAGGAGTTTTGTGGGGGTCCTTCAGGGAGGGTGAGGTGAGGAACAGGCACAGGATCTGGGGTCTCTCACGCAAGAGGAGGCGGGGCTACGGGTTGGAACGGCGGGGAGACGATCCAAGCAGGTCGACTCGTCAGCACTGTCAAGAGCTTTGAAGGCGGGAGCAGGCAGTACATACCCAGAAACCCAAGAGCAACAGAAATAGCCCTTCCTATTTTGGGGGCGGTTTGCCTGCGCCCTCACAGCCCTGATGTTTGCAATCTTGAAACCATGGAGGTTTTTGACGTGATCAGTAATTCGCCGGAGTGGTTTCACCAGGAATCCGTCACCATGTGCTGAGACGTCATTTTGGTGCCTAGAAACCAAATTCAAAGGGCAGAAAATATGCACACTGCCGCCCAAGACTCCTTTCCCTGGAGACAGACATTCGCAGAGGAGAAAATGCAGACCTGTCAGCTGGGCCGCTGGGTCGCCCCGGAGCTGTGCACAGGTGTTAGGGTCTCGCACTTCGAACCCCATGCTCTGTCACCATCTCACCCATTTATAAAGTTTCCAGATGTTTTTAAGAAGGAGTCAGGTTCCTTTCTCCATGTACAAGATCAGATGTGTTTCTCTGGGGGTGAAGGCAAACCCCAGTTGTTTATGTTCCGATGGCTATCGGAACATAAACAAAATTCCGACCGCTTCTAGAAATTTTTAGAAACATCTTTTGGTGTCTGCTATGCCATACGATCAAGAGACTGGCAGGGGTGGGGATTAATCAGCATCCCGCCCTTATCTAAAAGTTTCCACTGAAACTATCACCATTCCTCTGGATTCACAGGGACATCAACGAAAAAATGAGGTGACTAAGGGCTGAAGAGACACCTGAAGCTGTCACAAACGTGGGGAAGACTCTCCACAGGAAATGGAAGGTACAGGGAAGACTGTCTACAGGAAGTGGATGATCGAGGGAAGACTGTCTACAGGAAGTGGAGGGTCCAGGGAAGACTGTCTACAGGAAGTGGAGGGTCCAGGGAAGACTGTCTACAGGAATTGGAGAGTGCAGGAAGACTGTCTACAGGAAATGTAGAGTACAGGGAAGGCTGTGGACAGGAAATGGCAGCTACAGGGAAGATTGCAGGTGGGCTGCTTATTCTAAAGCAGCTGTCATAGTCCCAGCTGTTAGTAGGGTTCCAATCTGCTGGAATGAATTCCTGCTGCCACCCCCACCTACCTTCTCCTGCGTATGTGCTAATGGCCCTGGGGTGGGTCCCTGCAGGAGGATTCCCCTGCAGGTCAGGGGGGGGGGGTGAGCACTCTGACGTCGAGCTGACGCCAGCCGTGCCTCCCCCCTTCACACACGCCAGGACTCCCTCTCTGAGAGCGCCCGTCGCTAGGCGACGTGCCAAAACAAACACGCCGAACTGTCTGTCCTGTCAGGGCCCACGCGTCTCCACGCCCTGGGGGTGTTATCACAGCCCACTCCACCTTATCGACTCCGGCGGGAGGCTGACTTTCGCCCACGCATGGGTACGGGGTCAGAGGGGAGTGCCGCCACATCCTGGGTTAGCATTAGCCACACTTAGGCCAATGGGCCAAAGCCGCAGGGAGCAGCCCCGTCCCTCTCTGCGTTTCAGGCTGGCCTGAGGACACCTGTAGCCCACCTGGGGTCTGACGGCAACCTGCTGTTATGCAGGTGTTTAAGGTACGAAAAGGAGAATTATGTGTGTGGAGGAAGCCTGGGAAGAGACCTAGCCGCAAGAAGCTCCTCTCTCAAAGGTTCAACAGCAAGACCCTTCTGGTTCCATGCTGCCCCCACTCTCCCGCCCCCAGAGCTCAGCTGCCCCATTCACCTTAGATAAACACGGATCTGACCCCCCTTCTCCCGGGAGAATGCAGTAATCCTCCGGTTAATGCACAGACCTGTTTGCTCGCTGCTGATAGATCCAGATATGAGTCAATGCCCAGACAATGCTGGGTAAATGGATCACTTTTTAATGATGGGGGAGGGGGGGATGTGTAAAGAGAGATAAAAGAACTACAGATGACGGCCACGTCGGTTTGGTCAGAGGTCACGACCCGGACCCGACCCTGGGGATGCAGGGGCCAGAGGCTGCTCTCGGGGAGGGCGATGATTATGGTGCCTGGCGTGCTGCCCACAGTAGTGTTGTCTCGCCACTTGGGTCATTAGTGTGCTGCCTTCAGAAGGCTGCTCCGTCTCTCACGCTCGTGTTTTGCGTCTCTTAGTCTCTCCACACTGGGAGAATGCATGACAGCTTTCCATTTCCCTCTAAACAGAGACGTGGCACAGCAGCGCCCTCTATGTCCCCTGATGGGGAACTACAGCCCGAAGAGTTCCTGGGTTTGTGCCCATAGTCAGTGCTGCAAGTCAGTTTGTCAGCATTGCTGGGCTTCGCAAGGACAATATGAGTGTTTATTACTAAGCCGGAGTCATTCCCCCAGGGGGAAAAATATTCAGCAATGAAAGTAGCTCTTTTCTAGTTTTTCTGTTTTGGAGACCCTAGTTAGCCCCTCTTGACTCTGCTTAGCCCCACTCGGCCCCTCTTGGACTCGTTCAGCCCCACTCGACCCCGCTTGGACTCGTCTGGACTCGTTCAGCCCCACTCAGCCTCTCTTGGACTCATTCAGCCCCACTCGGCCCCTCTTGGACTCATTCAGCCCCACTTGGCCCCTCTTGGACTCGTTCAGCCCCGTTTGACCCGTCTTGGACTCATTCAGCCCTGCTCGGCCCCTCTTGGACTCGTTCAGCCCCGTTTGACCCGTCTTGGACTCGTTCAGCCCCACTGGGCCCCTCTTGGACTCGTTCAGCCCCACTCGGCCCCTCTTGGACTCGTTCAGCCCCACTCGGCCCCTCTTGGACTCGTTCAGCCCCGTTTGACCCGTCTTGGACTCATTCAGCCCTGCTCGGCCCCTCTTGGACTCGTTCAGCCCCACTGGGCCCCACATGAACCCCTGAACGGTGCTACTTTTACGCTCCCATGGGAGCCGCTTTTGCCCCAGTAACCCAGCATGCGCTGGCATGCAACTCGTCTCACATCAACACCCCTAAGAACACCCACATCACTTGCCTTCACGCTGAGGGCATGCAGTCTAGGTCGCCTTCCCCTAGTTAGGAGGGTTTAATCAGCACAGCTTTTATGTTTTAAGATTAAGATTAAGATTGAGATTAAGATGAAGATCGACATTAAGGTGACCTATATTGATCCCTGCGGGAAATTTAGCAGCAAGAACATGAAAATGCATATAGTGCCATAGAGACAAGGTGCAAACACAGCACACCGTGCTAACAAAGTAAACGTATTAAAAAGACCACAGTACAAATAAAATGTTCTAAAAGAGAATATTGTGATACTACAGAAATAAATATTTAAAAAGCAGGCAGGAACAATCCCCAGTAGAATTTTTTATGGTGGAATGAGCCAATGGCTAAGTTGTGCTCTAGGATAGCGCCCCCTGGAGAGGGTCGGAAGAATTGTTCATAATATCTAATTTTGTCAACATCCTCTTTTGTTCTCCTCCCTGCAGTGGGTCCTGGGTCAGTGCTGCGACAGAGCTGACCTTCCTGATCAGTTTGCTCATCTCCCGAACCGATGGCGCTTCCCCAGCAGGTCAATACGTTAAAAAGCACACTGACCACTATGGGCTGATAAAACATACACAGCAGCCTGTCACACAGGCTAAAAGCCCTGAGTCTCCTCAGAATGTGGAGCCTGCTCTGGCCTTTCTTGTACAGCGTTATTATATTGTCCGGCCAGTCCAGTCTGCTGTTCAGGTGAACCCCCAGGTCGTCCTGTACCACCTCCACTTCCTCCCCCTAGATGGTCACTGGTCTCAGGGGCTCCCTGTTATACCAGAAGTCCTCCCCCAGCACCTTAGTCTTGCTGATGTTGAGCTGCAAGTTGCTCTCCCAAGACAAAGCCCTCTATAAGCCTTCTCTACTCTGACTCATCTACTTTTCTAATGTATCCTGCAATGAAGCAGTGGTCTGAGAACCGTTGTAGAAGTCAAGTGCGCTTTGTTTAATTGTTGGTTAAGGCTGGAGGAGACCCCTGCGACCTGGCGGGG